TCAAAAAATTGAGATTTGAAAAACCTGCCTGAAATTCGCAAAAAATTCTGAAAAATACATTCGTCGAGCTGATTCGAAAAATTCGCTTTGAAAATACATTTTTTAATATATGTATTACAATCGAGAATTCGAAGTCAGAAAATCCGGAAATCTAAGTTGAAAAATCGAAAAGTCCAAAAATCAAAAATCCAACTCGAAAACCCCCTCGAAAAATTCGAAAAGCAAAAAATTGGAAAGTCGAAAAACCGAGTAATTGAATAAACGAAGTCGAAAAATCCAAAAATCGGTAACTTCAAAAATTGAAAAATCCAAGTCCAAAAATTCCATGAAAAGTTCAAAAACCGAAACACTCAAATCTAAAAATTGGAAAATTCAAAAATCGAGATTCGGAAAAATCTGAGAAAACATTAAATACTTCAAAAATTGTGATTTTTCATTTCATCAGTTCTGGAAAAATTGGAATTTTTGAAGAAATGAAGCCAGAAATAACTTCCACAAGTGGAGGTCTACAAAAAATGCATTTTGGTAATTTTCGAAAAATGGTCAAAAAAATGACTTGAATATCCTGCCTAAAAATTGGCAAAAAATTCTGAGAAATACACTTCGTCGAACTGATTTTAAAAACAGAGGAAAGCAAGATTTTCGAAAAATTCGCTTTGAAAATATTACATTTTTTTAATATGTTAAAAATCGAGAATTAGAAGTGAGGAAATTCAAAAACCAACAAATCGAAAATTTGAAGAATCAATTGTTTATAATCGAAAAATTTAAAAGTCCAAAAATTGGACATGCGAAAGATCGTAAAGTCCCTGGAAAAATCCAAAAATTGAACAATGAAAAAATCTAAGTTGAAAAATCTGAAAATCGAGAATTCGAAGTCGGAAAATGAAAAATCTAAGTCAAAAAATCGAAAAATCCAACTCCAAAAATACAAAAAGCAAAAAATCGAAAAGTTGAAAAATCGATGGCGAAAAATCCACAAATCGGACATTCGAAAAACCGAGAAGTTCAAAAATTGAAAAATTCAAGTCCTAAAATGCGTCGAATAGTTCAAAACACAAAACTTCGAAAAGTCGAAAAATTGAGAAATCGTAAAACAAAGTCGGAAAATCCAAAAATCGAGAAATTTGAAAGTCGAAAAATTGAAATGTCCAAAAGACGAAAAATCCAAAAATTGGACATTCGAAAATTTGAAGAATCGATTGTTTAATCGAAGAATTCAAAAATCCAAAAATCGGACATGCGAAATATCGTAAAGTCCCTTGAAAAATCCAAAAATTGAACAATGAAAAGATCTAAAAGCTGAAAAATATAAAAATTGTAAATTCGAAGTCGGAAAATGCAAAAATCGAAGTCGAAAAATCGAAAAATCCAACTCGAAAAATTCAAAAGCAAAAAATCGAAAAGTTGAAAAATCGAAAGCAAAAATCCAAAAATCCGACATTCGAAAAATCGAAAAGTTCAAGTCCAAAAATGCGTCGAATAGTTCAAAACACAAAACGTCGAAAGTCGAAAAATTGAGAAATCGTAAAACAAAGACGGAAAATCCAAAAATCGAGAAATCGAAGTCGAAAAATGGAAATGTTCAAAAGACGAAAAATCCAAAAATCGGACATTCGAAAAGTCGAGAAGTTCAAAAATCGTAAAATCAAAGTCCAAAAATACCTCGAGAAGTTCAAAAAAATCAAAACGTCGAAAAGTGGAAAAATCTAAAAATCGAGAATCCGAAGTCGGAAAATCCAAAAATCGAGAAGTGGAAGTCGAAAAGTGCTAAAACTGAAAATATAACTCGAAAAATCCCTCGAAAAATTCAAAAAACAAAAAATCGAAAAGTCGAGAAATCGAGAAATTAAAAAAACGAAGTCGAAAAACCCAAAAATGGGAAAATTTAAACATCGAAGTCGAAAAATCGAGAAATCGAACTCGAAAACTTAAGAAATCGGGCATTCGAAAAATCGAGAAGCTCAAAAATCGAAAAATTCAAGTCAATAAATACCTCGAAAAGTTCAAAAATCAAATCGTCTAAAAGTCGTAAAGCGAAGTCGAAAAACTCAAAAATTGAGAAAGCGAAGTCGAAATATCGAAAAGTTCAAAAAGCAAAAATCGAAAAATCGGGAAACTGAAAAAACGAAATCGAAAAATCCAAAAATCGGAAAATTCAAAAATCGAAAAATCCAACTCGTAAAATTCCTTGAAAAATTCAAAAAGCAAAAAATCGAAAACTCGCATAATCGAGAAATTGAAAAAACGAAATCGAAAAATACAAAAATCGAAAAATTCAAAAATCGAAACATCCAAGTCCAAAAATTCTCGAAAAGTTCGAAAATCAAAACGTCGAAAAGTCGAAAAATTAAAAAATCGTAAAACAAAGTGGGAAAATCTAAAAAGCGAGAAACCGAATTCGAAAAGTCCCTCTAAAAATACAAAAAGCAAAAAATCGAAAAGTCGAAAAATCGAAAAATTGAAAAAACGAAGCGGGAAAATCCAAAAATCGGAAAATTTAAAAATCGAAAATTCCAATTCCAAAAATTCTCGAAAAGTTCAAAAATCAAAACGTCGAAAAATTAAAAAATCGTAAAACAAAGTGGGAAAATATAAAAAGCGAGGAACCGAAGTCAAAAAATCCCTTGAAAAACACAAAAAGCAAAAAATCGAAAAATTGAAAAACCGAAGCGGGAAAATACAAAGATCGGAAAATTTAAAAATCGAACTCCAAAAATTCAAAAATCGGACGAAAAACAAAGTCGAAAAATCCAAAAATCGAAAAAAAGTCCAAAAATCGGAAAATTCAAAAATCGAGACTCGAAAAAGTCGGAGAATACGTTGAAGATCTCGAAAAACGTGTTTTTTTTCATCAATCAGAAATATATAGATTCTATTAAAAATATACTTCAACGAGCTGATTCCAAACATAACAGAGCAAAATTTTCGAAAAATTCGCTTTGAAAATAATTTTTTAAGGTTACTAAATAAAAAAAATATAGCTTTGATAATGAATTTTTTTTTTGAAAGTTTGACAAACAAACAAAAAATTATAAAATTTATAGAGATCCTAAGCGTTTTGACATTTTTCAAAACCTCTTTGTGGTTTGTGGTATTAATTTTTGACATAAATTAAATTAAAAAAAAAAGTATATTAAAAATTGTCATTTTTAATTTTATAGATTCTGAAAAAACGAAACAAAGAAATGAAGCCCAAATAACTTGTAGAAGTCGAAATTTATAAGAAAATGTCTCGGTGATTTTCTAAAATTGCTCGAAAAACGACAAAAAAATTCAAAAATTGAGAATTTTGAAAAATTGTCTCAAAAACCTCAAAAAATTCTGAGAAATGCAATTGGACGAGCTTAAATTATTTTTTTTTAATGCCAAAAGGTAGAAAAACTGCCAAAAAAAATTAAAGACAAGATGCTTATCATTCAGATTATTTAGAGTTTAAAATTTTTAAACATAAATTAAATTAAAAAATAACATTAAATATCTTGAAAAGTGAAAATGTTGGATTTTTCGAAGAATTGAAGCCGCAAATAACAAGTTGAAATCTACGAGAAAATGTTTTTTGTTATTTTTCAAAAAATGCTCGAAAACGTCCAAAAAATTCATTAAAAAATTGGGATTTTTGAAGTTAGCTATAAATCCTCAAAAAAATCTAAGAAATACGTTTTTGATTCGAAAAACATAAGCTGAAGATGATTTCGGACAAGTTTTTCTAAAAACTATACTCTGGAAAAATGAAGTCAAAATAACTTGTAGAAGTCGAAATTTAAAGAAAACCTCTTGGTAATTTTCCAAAAATTGTTCGAAAAACGGTCAAAAAATTTGGGAAATAAATTTCCACGAGCTGATTCGAAAACATAACGTGTTGCTGATTTAAGACAAGGTTTGCTAAAAATTCCGTTTAAAAACATTCTTTAATGAATCGAAATCTCCAAAAACTGTAAAAAAAGAAAAATTGTAGAAGTTTTAAGCATTCATTTTCTCAGAACTTAAATTTTTTATAAACAAATTAAATTAAATTAAAAAAAAACCAAATATTTCGAAAATCGCCATTTTCCATTTTTTCGATCCTGGAAAAATTATCCCGAAAATCATCATTTTCATTTTATCCATTTTGGAAAAATTACTTGAATTTTCGAAAATATGAGACTGAAAATAACAAAATTGAAATTGAATTGAGCTTAATTTTTTTTTTAATGCCGAAAGGTTGAAAAACCGTCAGACTCTTCAGAGTTTAAATTTTTTAAATATAACTTAAATTACGGCACAAAATTAATTAAAAAAATGAGATTTTTAAAAGTTATAGCTCGAAAAATGGTCACAAAAATGTAGAAGTCTTAAGCGTAAACAGCAAAAAATTCATACTGGGGGGATGAAAAACTGAAATTTTGAAAAAGTTGCTTAAAAATCATTAAAATGTAACATTTGATGATCCTGGAACAAGATTTTTGAAAAAATACTCTCATTTATGCAACACGAAAAATAAATTAGGACATTTCTGATTTATCTAATGCTGTAATCAACAGTTTTAGGTTACTTTATGAAATATTAGTCAACTAATGCTGACAACCTTTTTAAAGTACGCCCAGTTCTTTAAAACGAGATATAAATCGATATAATTCATCTCTCTATTTCGACACCTACAAATGTCCACTCATTTTAACCAATTTATTTTTATTAGCCACGTGAACGTAAAAAATTACTTGCTAGACAAGGTTCAACCAAATTAAATCTTCAGCGATCTGAAAACCGATTTTAGAAAATTTTCCACCTTAAATTTCGCCGAAGACCGTCACCACGGAATTTTCCAGACTCCCATTCCGCCTATAATAAATGCATTTCTTCGCAAATTTTAACGACTTGCCCAAAAAACTCCCACCAAAAACAAAAACAAGCCGAAAACCTTGAAATTTGCAAATCACGGTATTAATTTTTTTCCTGCACGTGTCTGAAACCACGCTCTTCAGGCTGTGACCCCACACGAAAACTCGTCTTCCCCTTACCTTTCGCCCATCCTGTGACGACGTTCCCCAGATAAGCCACCCGATAAGTCGGATCCGGCCTCGAGATCGTGACACTCGCCGTCTTCTTCAGCCTCAGCCGGTTCAGAAACGTCTTGAGCATCTTGCGCCCCCGCTCCTTCTGCAGCCCCTTTCCGGGCATCTCGCTGTTCAGCGCCTCGATCGAGGGGACTTTCTTGTTGTTCATGGCCTTGCAGAAAAGAGCCGCGTCCACAACGTCCTCTTCCTGTTCCATTTTTCTCGGCAAAGCGGTCTTCTCGAAAAGTGACTAGTTCCAACCAAGGAAATGGCGAAAGATAAGGCTTCCGGCTGGTTTTCGTCCGACAGCAGAAATTTCGCTCCAACTAAGCGAATTTACATCATGTTGTTGCGTAAGGACGTCACATCGTCGCTTTTCGGTTTGCGAATGGGATGTGGCGGCGGCGTCATGAGGTACCTGGAAATAATAGAGGAACTGAATTAATGGAAAGATTGACATTTTCGAGCAGGTAGTAGAAGCTGTTTTGGGGATTTCGAAACGGTTACGACACTGTCAAACTGATCCACCGCACTCTCCCGACCTAAGTCCAAGTGAGTTGTGTAGGTGTGGCGCAACGCCACCTGCTGTTGCTTTATTTCCCAAATGAGCTCTCTTGTGTGTAAACTACAAGCAATTACGGATGTTGGTGAAATCCGGCTAGGAAAATCTGCCCGAATTTTTGATCACGCACCAGGAGAGAATCGCACGCACCTCCAAGGTCCACAACATTCACAGCTCTAAATCTGTTACAAAACCGTTTCAAAAAAGCCGATAATTCATACTTGGAAGATATCAACATTTCTTTTGTGCGGCTGCAATATGTTGTTAAAGAACTAGTTTGGTCGTTTAGAGGTCAATCAGCTGTTGGTTTCGTTTGTTTTATCTGTCTGCGTCGACAAGAACACTATTTACTCGAAAAAAATGGCAACCACAGCTCACCTGTCCAACCTAGGTATAAATATTCCTTCTTATTTATAGCAATTGCATTTTTATGCTAATTCACTCTAATCGATTCACTATACTTTCGAAAGTGTCGTAATCGAAATTTTGATTTGGCGGCTAATTGAGATCGCCGTTTTTCAAGGTCGGGCGCATTGATTCTCATTTTTCGTGTGTATCTTAAAATGGACGCCCAAGGGTTCGGCTCGTAGGGTGTGGGCGCACGCTGTATTTGTTGATGCAGAAATTTTAGTTAGTTGTTTTGACACAGAGGCTGAGTTGTGGCTTCCTTTTAATATTTTTCGTGGACTGACTCACCCAGTCGACAAATGTGGTTGCATAATGCTTGGAAATAGAAATTTGTGTTTGTTGAAATGTTAAAGTTTGGATGGTTTTCTAGTTGACTGGGTTACAAAATTGAGTGGTTTCGATTTCGGTTATTTCAGACATATGTGACGATCTAGTGAGTTAGAAAGCGACGTGGCGATCATCAATCATGGCGCTGAATGAAATAGTTGAATTTAATTAATTTGAATTAAATGTCGGTGAAGTATTTAGCTTTTTTACTTTGGGGCATTTATTATAACAGACTGTCATGGGTGTAATTGATGGGGGACATTAATTTTATTCGGAGTATAATGGTACCGTGGATAAAGGAGAAGTACGCGGATGTAGAAGAAATTTTAAAATAGTTTTTTGCGTGTCCAGCGATATTAATCTAACCGGAGACAGTACTCATGGATTAGGTAACAGCGGATAAGTCACTATGACGTTTTTTCTAAATGTTTTATTCTGGTCTAACGAAGATGCCATAAAACTTAAAGCTTTTAACAGTTAAAAAAATTAGATTGATAAAAACGTTGTGAAGTGTTTAATTTATACATTTTTTTCGCTTAACAAAAATTTTAAGACCTCGCGAAAAGTTCAGGCATTAATTTAATCACTTTCAAACAAACATTACTCTAACATACGTCACCGGGACCAAAATAATGCAATAAAACTAACCAGTTCCCTTTGTAAACAGTTCTAAGATGTTTAACGATGCAATAAAATTCTGTGCGCCAATAATAATTCAAATCTACGTTTGGAAAAATATTCACACTGATAGATATTCCAAGGAAACTGGATATTACGTAATTTCACAAATATTTAATTTGGATAAATCTCTTTAAATACGATTCTGTCTTTAGTTGCGAGTTGAGGGTTCATTTTTAAATTGCATTTTTTTTAATTTTGACAGGCATTCGTTTACATCACTTTGAAAGCGATGATAATTTTCCACCTCATGTAATATTATTTTGTTGTTTATCAAGGTATTTTTGTTTATTTTGTCATACAAAATTTCGGATAACTCGGACTTTTCGAGGTTTAATAATAATAATAATAATAATAACGTTTCAGCGATTCTTTTTCCCGAATCAAATTTGCCGACTTCCCATAACTAAATAAATTTACGGCTTTAACAACCTTACAATTAAGTATTTAATTCGGAAAAAAGTCTTTAATTTAATAAATTTTAAAATTATTTTATTCACAATCGGTCAGTAATGTGAAACTTTTAAACTTTTTAAAAATTTGGAAGTCAAGAGATGGAAGAAACTCACTTTCCACCCCACAACGTTACGTATGTGTAATTAATAAAGCAAGCTGTTATTTTTCATTCATAAATAAACCAAAAAAAAAATAATAAAACATCTATAAATTATAAACAAAAACAAAACCAACAAAAAAAACCATTAAAGCATAAACAATTAATTAAACCCTAGAGAAGATGTTCAAAATTCCTGCCTTGTGCATATAAGTAATCTCGTAATGTTTCTAAATTTTGATCATTTTTTCTGAAAGTTAGGCTCACTACTTGCTAAAATAAAACCGATTTTGGCAAATGAGATACTTTCTCAGAAAAGAGAGGGTGGGCGAGGTTAGTACCTGCTAAAATAATATCGATTTTGGCAAATGACATATCCGCTAAGAAAAGACAGGGTGGGTGGGCGGGGCTAGCACCTGCTAAGATAAGACTGTTATTGGCAAATAACCTACTCTCTAAAAAAATGAAGGGTATATCATTTGGCAAAATCAGTCTTAACTTGGCAAGTATTGGCCCCGCCCACCCACCTTTATTTTCTTCAAGGATATGACATTTAGCAACATCAGTTTTATCTTAGCAAATACTAACCTCGCCCACCCGCCCTCTATTTTCTTAGAGGGATCTCATTTGCCAAAATCACTCTTATTCTAGCAGGTACTAGCCCCGCCCACCCACCCTCTCTTTTCTTAGAGCGCATGTCATTTGCCAAAGTCAGTTTTATCTTGGCAAATTCTACTAATATATTCTTTACGTGATGTACGGGGTTTCGGGAGCCCCAACAAAATAATAAAAAAAATCTGTATGATGTACTGTTGTGGCCCCCCAAAAGTGCCCGATTTTTCGTTGGCATGGAATTTTTTGAATTTTTAAATTAATGTAAGCCTGGCTATTATCAGTGGCGTAGCATTTTTGAACAAACAAAATGTCAAATTTGACAAACTTTGTTATTCGGACGCTCATGATTTGAACATACATTTACAATAGAGAATATTACGTGTACTTTTGGAAAGCCGCAATTGTAGACTATGAAAAAAAAACGCTGCTAAGATTGATTTTGGCAGATGAGATGCCCCCTAAGAAAAGAGAGGGTGGGTGGGTGGGGCTAGTACTTGCTAAGAAACGACTGATTTTGGCAAATGACCTACGCGTACCTCATTTGCTAAAATCACTCTTATCCTAGCAGGTACTAGTCCCGCTCCAAAAAACTCAAAAATCCAGAAATCGAAGTCGAAATATCGAAAAGTCCAAAAATTGAAAAATCCAGCTCGAAAAATTCAAACAGCAAAAAATTGAAAGTCGACAAATCGAGAAATTGAAAAAACGGAATCGAAAAATCCAAAAATCGGAAAAATAAAAAATCGAAATCGAGAAAACGAAGTCGAAGAATCCAAAAATTGGACTTTCGAAAATTCGAGAAGTTCAGAAATCGAAAAATCCAACTCCAAAAATACTCGAGAAGTTCAAAAATCAAAACTTCGAAAAGTCGAAAAATCCAAAAATCAAAAAATTGAAGTCTAAAATTCGGAAAATCCAAAAATCGAGATTAAAAAGTCGAAGAAAACGTTAAATATATCGAAAAATGTGTTTTTTTTTTCATCAATCAGAAATATAAAGATTCTAAGAAATTATACTTCAACAAGCTGATTCCAAACATAACAGAGCAAAATTTTCGAAAAATCGCTTTGGAAATAATTTTTAAGGTTCAAAATAAAAAAAATAGCTGTTTTTTGTCGAAAGCTTTAAAAAACGAACAAAAAACTATAAATTTAGTAGAGATCTTAAGCGTTAAGATTTCTCGAAGCTTCTTTGTAGTATTAATTTTTGAACATAATTTAAATTAAAAAAAAACAAATATACTGTAAATTGTCATTTTTAATTTTATAGATTTTGGAAAAACGAAAAAAAAAATTGAAGCCAAAATAACTGGTAGAAGTCGAAATTTATAAGAAAATGTCTCGGTGATTTTCTAAAATTGCTCGAAAAACGGGGAAAAAAATTCAAAAATTGAGAATTTTGAAAAATTGTCTCGAAAACCTCAAAAATGCAGTTGGACGAGCTTAAATTAATTTATTTTGAAATGCCGAAAGGTAGAAAAACTGCCAAAAATTTAAAAAAGAATTGAAGACATGCTAATCATTCAGATTACTCATTTTTAAACATAAATTAAATTAATAAAATAAAAAAAAAATTGCAAAGAGTGTCATTTTTTATTTTATGGATTTTGAAATTTTTTTGTTTTTTGAAGAAATAAAGCCGCAAATAAGTCAATCTACGAGAAAATGTTTTTTGTTATTTTACAAAAAATTCGCAAAACGGCCAAAAAATTCATTAAAAAATTGGGATTTTTGAAGTTAGCTATAAATCCTCAAAATATCTAAGAAATACATTTTTTTTTCGAAAAACATAACCTAACGACTGATTTTGGCAAATGACCTATTCTCTAAAAAAATAAGACTGATTTTGGCAAATGATATACCCTCAACCCTTTATTTTTTTAGAGAGTAGGTCATTTGCCATAGTAGGTACTAGCCCCGCCCACCCACCCTCTGTTTTTTTTGAGGGCATGTGATTTGCCAAAGTCAGTTTTATCTTGGCAAGTTCGACTAATAAATTAATTATGTTATGTACGGGGTTTTCGGGAGTCCTAAAAAAATAATAAAAAAAATTAAGGATAGAGGGTACATTATTTGGAAAAATCAGTCTTATCTTGGCAAGTATTGACCCCGCCCGCCCACTCGCCCTTTACTTTCTTCAATGAAATGCCACTTAGTAAAATCAATTTTATCTTAGCAAATACAAACTCCGCCCACCCGCCCTCCGAAGAGAAGAAACAAAGGAAACTTAAAACATGTTTATAATAGTAAATTTTGTAATTTTACAGGGGCTGTAT